AGCAACGAGAGGGGAGAGTGTGTCTACGTACCCTCGTAGACCGAAAGCGAAAGCGTTAAGCAACGCGGTTGATGTAGTCGAACATCTTTGCGATCCAACCGATCAAGTACCGAACGTACGGCACCTCCATGATCTGCACACGTTCCGGTGGCGTCCCTCGAACTCTTGATCTAGCTGAGGCCGAGGGAGAGATTCGTCAGCACGACGACGTGATGACGGTGATGATGAAGTTACCGGCGTAGGGCTTCGCCTAAGCACTGCAACGATATGACCGAGGTGTGTTTCTGTGAAGGGGCACCGCACACGGCTAAGAGAAACTTTGGTGTGCCTTTGGGGTGCCCCCCTCCCACGTATGTAAAGGGGGAAGGGAGGAGGAGGCCGGCCAAGGGGAGGAGGCGCGCCATGGGGGGCAATCCTACTCCAAGTAGGACTCGGCCCCCCTTTCCTAATCCAACAAGGAGAAGGGGGAAGGTGAGGGAGGAGAGAAGGAAAGGGGGGTCGGCCCCCCTAGTCCAATTCGGTTTGGGCTAGGGGGGCGCGCGCCCTGCCTTGGCATGCCTCCTCTCTTCCACCAATAGGCCCATGAGGCCCAATAACCCCCGGGGGGTTCCGGTAATGTGCATAGTGATGTGCATTACCGCGAGGACCCAGAGATACCTCTCCGATACACGGAGTGACGAATCCTAACCTCGATCCATGCCAACTCAACAAACACTATCGGAGACACCTGTAGAGCATCTTTATAATCACCCGATTGTGTTGTGACGTTTAATAGCACACAAAGTGTTCCTCCGGTATTCGGGAGTTGCATAATCTCATAGTCATAGGAACATGTATAAGTCGTGAAGAAAGCAATAGCAATAAACTAAACGATCATAGTGCTAAGCTAACGGATGGGTCTTGTCCATCACATCATTCTCTAATGATGTGATCCCATTCATCAAATGACAACACATGTTCATGGCTAGGAAACGTAATCATCTTTGATTAACAAGCTAGTCAAGTAGACGCATACTAGGGACACTCTGTTTGTCCATGTATTCACACATGTACTAAGTTTCCGGTTAATACAATTCTAGCATGAATAATAAACATTTATCATGATATAAGGAAATATAAATAACAACTTCATTATTGTCTCTAGAGCATATTTCCTTCATTTCGTACATGGATAAATAAATTCATAAGGGTCATTTAATACAAATAAACACATTTTTAGAAATTGGCCACATAGACAAGCATACAGTCATCCCTATGAACACACGCACTTCAAGAGACGAAGTCATTATAGACGCCTTGTAGTTGACAGAAACGTCTCTTCCCACTAAACGAATGTCGCTGAAAAATCAGAAATAAATCGGAAAAAATGGGAGCATGAATGTTAATTTTAGGATTTAAAACCAATGTGCTCCTAACGTTCGTAACATATTTCTCTCTACCGGATTCTCTTTTGTTTCTGTATTTGTCAGCGGCCGCAAAGCTGTGCATCGCACAGAGTCTGCTCCTTTGACGGTCATACCATAACTTTTTTCTTTATTTTTTCGCGAAAGGTGGTACCATACCCGGCCGGAGTAGGCACGTAGCACATCACCCGAACTAGGAAGCACCGCGTCCATCCTTTCACCCTGATGGACATGTTCTCTCTACTCTACCAAACGAAAGCCACTTTCATTAGCCATCAAAACAAACTCCTCCAAAACGATACCGTACCTAAACATCGAACCAATTTACGAAAATGCCGAACAAAAGGTAATGTAGAGCTTACTTTAGCTAATTCTCTCTATACTCTGCAGATTTTATTTTTGGCAACCAAACAGCTGAAATCGAAACCGGTCTCGAACCTACAAACGGAGGAAGAACCTGGTCCATGCGCGACAGAAGCCGCGGCACCCGTACGGAGGCGACGCTCCCTGCCAAAGGTCGACCGTGGACGAGGTCCACGGACCCCGGGGTCCCGATTCCCAGTATATGCTCTCGTCTCGTGGGTGGTGCGAGGGAATCCGGTGCGGCTCGGCCCCCCAACCGCGGCTTCCAACCCACTCCTGCTTCCACTAAAGCGTTATCCCCCGCGTGGCCGCCTCCCGGCCGTCCACCCCGCGATCCGACGGCCCCGGAAGCCCGAGCTACCGGCCCCGTACGCCTGCCAGGCCCACGACGCTTTCCCCCCGTATATCTTTTCGCGTCGCCAGAAAGGAAGGCCACGCCTCAAAGTTAATATCGCGGCATCGGGTCCTGCGCTGCGCGCCTGCTGCTGCTCCCTCGCCCTCGCCTCCGCTGCCGTCGCGCGAGATCAACCCCGCCGGTGAGGGACCCCTCCCCTCTCCCCCTCCCTTCCTTGCCGCCGGTTCCGTTTCCGGTGGCCGGACCGGTTGCTGCGCCGCCCGCTCTCGTCGGTTCCGCTTTGTTGAGTCGCGGCGCGGTGCCACTGTACTGTACTGTACGAGTGTGCGCATTTCCTGGTTCCTGTCGCTTGCAGTCCGTGCTTCTCCTTATTTTTTCTCCGGTTACGGGCTCTCTGGTTCGGTGGGTTCGGTGGGATCCTTCTGCTCTGATTCGTGTGAGGGATGGTGGTGCGTTTCGCGATTGGTCGATTGTGGTATGGTTCGTCGCCTCTTTCTCGTCTGCTTCTTCCCTTTTTGCTCCGCAGGGTAAAATTTCCCCCTCTGTTCACCTGCTCCTCCATCTCTCTCTCTCTCTCTCTCTGTACGCTCCTGTGCATTTTGGTGGTCTTGAACGCCCATTCCACCGCGATTCAAGTGCTCAAATCTCCCCTGGGTTTCGAATAGGACGACGACGACGGCGAGAACCCGGCGGTGCTTTTTTTTCGATTTTTTTAATCTGTTCTCTGGATTTAGTCCGATCTGTTTCGCGGCTGCAGAGGCGCGGATATTTTGCTCCTTCCGTGGTGTTCCTTCTCGTCCTTTTTGAGCAACTTCTCTTTCCTCGAGTTTGCCAAACTTGTAGCAGCATGCGTCGCTGCTCTCCAAATCTGTTCGTTGCGGTTGCGGCGGCTGTTTCCCCTCTTAGATAAAGTTTTTTTTTACCCGCATTTGTGCTTTGTCTCGCCTATGCTCCTGGATGATTCTGTTACTATTTCTAGAGAAGAGAACCCGAGTTGGACCATGCGGTAGTTGTTCTTCAGGGAAAGGCTCTTAATCTCGGCTGATGCTTCAGGGGAAGGCTCTAAATCTCAGCTGATGTTCAGTTAGTATTTAGGACGTGATGGTGATGTCATCTTCCGATTTATTTTATTTTGCTTCCGAAGATCATGCTAGCTTTGACTAGTAGTAGTAGTAGCACACTACAGTCCTGTCCAGTCCTCGCATAGATTATTAGCCTAGGTCCTGTCTGTCTGTTAAATTAATGTTACTTGTTAATATTGTTTACTGATAGTATATTGCTGCTATTTTTTTGGAAGTTACTTGTTAGAAGGGCTGCGCACTTTACATTAGGCCTTTGCATGTGGACGTGTGGGCACTGTGGCGTTGCCGACTGGGGACTTTTTCTGGCTTTTCAAATGCCAATAAAGTTGCTTAGATCTGTCTTTCTTTGCGGCCATTTTCAGTCTGCTAGTATATTATGTGGTCAATTATCAGGCAATGTAGAGCCCAGTTCAGGGAACATGGAAACTGTGTATCCTTGAATGCAACTGCGCTGTGTTTAGGGGTAGTTGCCAACACAAAGGATTATTGGGATGGACAAAGTTGAATTACTTGTGATATACTCCCTCCGTCCCAGAATATAAGAACGTTTTTGACACTAGTGTAGTGTTAAAAACATTCTCATATTGTGGGACAGAGGGAGTATGTGTCAGTATTGATGTGGAAAGAGCTCATGTGGTCAGGATTAGGCAACTGATGCAAAAACATGAGAATACAGGGTCAGGTTTTCCATTTTCCGTTTTTGCATAGTCCATACATAGCTTTCACCACTCAACATTCAGTAGAGCACTATTTAGGTTAATATGTTGAGTTATTTAGGACGTGATGCCATCTTCAGATTTTATTTTATTTTGTTTCGATTCCTAAGATCATGCTAACTTTGACTAATGTACTACAGTCCTGTGCTGGCATAGATCATTAGCCTATTCTAACTGCAGCTCGTGCCCATCTGTTAAATTAATGTTAGTTGTTACTAGTATTGTTTACTGATGTATTGCTAGTGTTCTTTTCTAAGTTATTTATGAGAAGGGGTGTGCACCTTACATTTGCCTTTTGCGTGTGGCCTTGGAGTTACCCCGCCTAACTGTGGTCCTCTGGCCTTTCAGTTTGTTCAATGCCAACTAAGTTACTTAGATCTTTCTTTCTTTGTGACAATTATCTGTTTGCATGTGAATGATTTGCACTGACAGGAGAAACTGACGTGAGTAACTGAGTATTCAATTGGTTCTCCTGGTCATGGATGTTGTAGTAGTCATTTGGATTGGATAAGTGCATAATTTGTCTGCTATTATGTGGTATGTTGAGTTATCTGGCAATAGAGACCAGAGTATTAGTATACATATTCAGGAAACAAGGAAATTGTGTATTCTTGAATACAACTGCGTTGTGTTTAGGGGAAGTTGCCAACACGAGGTTTCTTGGGATGGGCAAAGTTGAATCTACTTGTATTGTCGACAGTTTCTGTGCTTATGTAGGTGTCAGTATTGCTGTCAAAAGATTAGGCAACTCATGCAAAAACATGAGAATACAGGGTTAGGTTTTCTGTTTTGCATAGTCCATACATTGGAGATTTCTTCTTGATGGTCAAGCACCAGGTTGAAATTTATTTGCCCATTACATAGCTTTCACTACCCAACATGTAGTAGAGCATTATTCAGATTAATATGCGGAGGATGACATTGTTAGCTTCGAAAATGTTTATAATTTAGTTTGTTGCATGAAATTTTGAAGTTCTGTAATGTTTTCTCACCCTATGTTTGGAGCCTTTCTTAACATGTCTTTCAAGTATTTACATTTGCTTGTTAGTGTCCTTGATATAGAGAATCTAGTTACTTACCGATGATATTTTCTAATTATATAGCCATGGCTGGAGAAGCTGATGGGAAGACCTACCAGGTATCAAGGATGCCCCCTGCTGCTCTCAACGAGCGCATCCTTTCTTCCATGTCTCAAAAGCACGTTGCTGCTCACCCATGGCATGACCTGGAGATAGGTATTGTGCACCCTCAGTCGAACAATGTTAAGATAGTTTTGCTAAAATTTTGTACTGTGCTGCAAGTGTTTCTGTTTAATATCTTACTAGTTGCTATATTTTCTTTGAAAGTGCAGGTCCAGGGGCCCCTGCAGTTTTCAACTGTGTAAGTTTATCTTTTAAATAGTTTAGCTTTAAATATAGTCGATGTTCTGATCAACTTGATCGATATCAAATTAGAGCTTCCTTCATGCTTGCATTTAGTTTCAAATTTCGCCATAGGGACTGAAATTAATCTACCTGGTTTTGAAGTCTTCAAATCCTCCTTTTGAAACTTCCATACTTGTATTAATTCCATAAAAAAATGGGGTCAGGTTTATTGAAACTTTTTGGAGTTTGCAGTTCCTGCTAACAGTTTGGGTTTCACATGATATATACTAGCTCAGGCATGTCTCAAGTTATTGTACTAAGCCATTGTTATATGCATTAATCTTACTTTGTGTAGACCAGCTAAGACAAGATGTTCTATTCTGGATTTCCTTTTTATTTTCCTGTCTTTATCTGCTGTGTTATTAAGTTATGCGCAGTTACACAGACTTGTTTCTTTTTCCTTTCATCTCCAGGTGGTTGAGATTCCTAGAGGCAGCAAGGTTAAGTATGAGTTGGACAAAGCAACTGGTCTTATCAAGGTCAGCTTGCACTACATCGTTTTGCCTTTGTGTGCATCATGTTACTTAACTCCCTGTTGAATCCTAAAGGGTGTCATTAGAATCCAGCTGTTATGCTCAGAATGTAAAAGGGAGATTAAAGACACTATCTATTAACACTGCATGCACAAATTGAGGAGTTCTGTTAATAATACTGACAAAAGGGCATGCCTTAATAATGTGCCACTAACTGTAGGTTAGTCAGTAATGTACCACACATGAATGTGGAGCACTTGCATAGTTGCATCTTACAACTTCTTTTATTCTACATTGATAAAAGAAAACTTGAACGTTTTGTTTGTTCCAGGTTGATCGTGTTCTGTACTCCTCAGTTGTGTACCCACACAACTATGGCTTCATTCCACGCACACTCTGTGAGGATAATGACCCGATGGATGTCCTTGTCCTGATGCAGGTATCGAATGGATGCGGTGCTTAATTATTTATACATTATATAAGCTCTGTCCTAACGTCACTGCTCTTTCTCCTGGACAGGAACAAGTTGTTCCTGGTTGCTTCCTGCGTGCCCGTGCTATTGGGCTTATGCCTATGATTGATCAGGTTAGATTTCACCATCACTTGTTTACATTGAAGATGCTTTGTTTCATGTCAGCATGGACAAGAAATTATTTGCTTGTACTCCCTCTGTAAGGAAATATAAGAGCGTTTAGATCACTACTTTAGTAATCTAAACGCTCTTATATTTCTTTACGGAGGGAGTATATTCCACTGCACAGTTTTAAGATTGCTTGATGCATGAGTTCTACCACTTACAAAGTGGGTTCTATCTGACTGCTGAGTTCTTACATTAGTTTATCATTTGATATCACTAGGGTGAGAAAGATGACAAGATCATAGCTGTCTGTGCTGATGATCCTGAGTACCGTCACTTCAGAGACATCAGTGAACTTCCCCCGCATCGCCTACAGGAAATCCGTCGCTTCTTTGAAGACTGTACATTCCTCAACTATGATCAACTTCACTGTCCATTCCAAAATTCTATGTGCCAGATCATGAACTGAACTAACTGGATTCTGACCATTGAACTTGTGACAGACAAGAAGAATGAAAACAAGGAGGTTGCAGTGAATGATTTCCTCCCAGCAGAAGATGCCATCAACGCAATCAAGTACTCGATGTGAGTTTTGCTGCTTCATACTTGTACTAACATTGTTTACTCTACTAGCATATGGACTCTATACTGCCTTACTGTTATTCCTTTTTTTTTGCGGGTGGCTTACTGTTACCTGAACCGATTCTTGCGCTGAACCGCTTAAAATGCTATACGGCAGGGACCTCTACGGTTCGTACATCATGGAGGGCTTAAGGAAGTGATCTCCAGTTGGTGGACTGCGGATGCTACGCGATCCGCCCTACGGCTTATCAATAGTACGACAGACATTTATGTTAACATGATGATCGAAAACCATCAGTCTGTTGGGGATCTATATATACCTTCTGTCCATGCTGAGTGAAGCATGGGTACATTTTCCTTCCGTATATGCCATGTCAGGTCCAAGTATTTGACCTCTTGCTGGAACCTTTTTTGTCAAACCGTCTCTTGACAGAGCGGCTGCTTAATAGGAAATCAGCGTTACGCGAAGGCGCGTATGCGTGCCTCCAGTCCGTTTAACCGTGTGATATCTTGATGTTGTGTGGTATCCGCTGGTTTTGCTTTCCCTGGGTTTTTTTTTCCATTAGTTTTCTGTGAACGTCCTTAGCTGTTGTCGCCATCATGGAATCCTGTGTAGTCTTTGTCACAGGAGTTCAGAGCTGTTGGAACTTTTTCAAGGAACGTCCTCACCTGGTGTCACCATCATCAGTTTTCTCTCTCTATTCATCTCAGCGGCATCCCTTTGCATCACGCCATCGCATTGCTAGTTTCTTTCACGTTTAGAGTCTCTGGATGATATCCAATTCTGCGCCCGGGCATCTACACCTGATGAACAGTAAATTCAAAAATAATAAAACTCTGATTTTTTTTTTGTAGAGAAAGATGACTTAGTGCGTGAGGTGTGTCAAATTTCAAAGCATTTGAACATTTGAGAAGTTCTCAGCAAAATAAACAAAATCGGATCCAGACAGTGCACAAGCAGTAAAGTTTTTCACGGACCTCAAATTTATCTCTTTTGCTGAGAGCTACTTGGACATCCAAATGCTCTGAAATTTGCCACGGACATCACGCACTTCGTCATCTTTCTCCACAATTTTTTTTTGAATTATTTTACTATTTTTAATGATTTTTTTAGTCAGTCAAAACGCCTCACTCCTGGATGGTCCCCTTTTTTATGTTTAATCTCTAGTCCCTTGGATTGTGAATCCTCTTAATGTGGCGAACAGCGTCGTTCTAAGAAGAGTTTGTTCTGTTGAGGTATTGATTAGCTACATTTCCTGCCCAATTGTTATTCCGATCTGTAATACAGTGAAAGACCACTGTGTTAAAAATACCTTTCTTGCACCGGGTGACATGTTGAATGGCCAATTTGCACCACAGATAGGAAAGGCAGGCGAATGAACGAGGCTTTTCTGCTCGGCAAGCCGCATTGCTGGAGTTATGCAGTAGATTACAACTCTGATTCAACCAGCACGGTGATTGGAGATGATGATTCTAAGAGAACACCGTTGCTTGAAACATGGAGATCCGAACAGGAGTAAACGAGTTGACAAACATGGAAATGCATGTATCATATTTATTCAAGATTACCAGACCGGACACAGTACCGCATGCTCGCGACAATCCAAAGTAATCTAGACATGTTCCAAAATCTCTACCCTCACGAAACCCTCCTCCAAGGGTTACAGTATGCCGAAGGAACCCAGTATCCAGTAATAATGTTCAATTTCGATAACGATGTGACACTAAGCAGTCTAGCATACAATGATAGGGTAATCAAGCTCCAAGCACATGAAGCATGATTGCGTTCTGCGCGTGCATTCTGTTCTCTGCCTGGGGGAATACGATCGAGTTGGGAGCCTCGATGGCACCATCTGTTACCTCCACCCCTCTCTCCGCGGGCAAACAATGCATGAGGAAGGCTTTTGGACCAGCCATCTCCATCAGGGCTTCATCCACCTGCAGGGACCAAAAATCACAAAAGTGTCAGCTGAGGGCCAACCCATGTGCCAAGACTACTGACTGTGAATGATTGAACTACAAGGACTAGTTATCGGGCAACTTCTAGTAAAGTTCATCAAACTCTAAACATTCAAACATAAAAGAAACAAGATTGTTAGTTCCTAGTAGATCAACAATATGGACATTTCCAAGGAGATGTAGCTACAACCTAGCAACCAAAACATGAATGAGAAATGAACAGGTATCAACAATCCAATAGGAATGAGATGTCCACAGATCAAAATTCGTGTAAATGACAGTATAAAACAAGAGGTAGACTGACCATGAATCCTTGGAATACTTTTTTCCTATATTCAGCTTCCTCCTTTTGGCCCATGCTGGCCCAAACATCTGTATACACAACATCTGCTCCCTTAACTGCTTCCTTGGGATCATTTGTTATTTCAATCTTACTTCCACCACTCCTAGCGATCTCCACAGTTTTGGCATCTGGCTCAAAGCCCTTAGGACAAGCGCATACAAAGTGGAAGGGAATCACAGCAGCCAATAGAAGCCATGAGTGTACAATATTGTTGCCATCTCCAACATAGACAACCTACATAAACAATTAGGGAAAGAGAGAGATAATTAGTCCCCGTAGAAGAAACCACCATATGCTGTTATTTAAAAGGTATAATCTACCTTGGTGTTTTCAATACGCCCAACATGTTCAAGCATAGTGAGCGCATCAGCCATTATCTGGCACGGATGGTTGTAGTCTGTAAGGCCATTTATGACAGGTACAGGTGCATATTTTGCCAAGTCCAAAATATCCTGTCAAAAATCACACGAGACGTTAGAAAGACAATGTGATCATTAGGTCAATTGCATGCAAGCAGAATATAAATAGCTTAAGATAAAGTATCTCAATAACAAGCAAGCCAACAAAACAGGATTGTGTGCAAGTGAGTTCAATGCCCAACCCCAAACATCAATTAGATGTTAAATATATTACGAAAAATAAAGAAAAACAAATGAAGAAGCACGTCAGAGAAAACTGCCACAACAATATTGTTTGATCATCAAATCCACCCATCCAAATATTTCCAGGTTGGCAGTTAGACAACTAGAATGAAACAAACTTACATTTTCAGTTATAGCTACACTATCATGGTTGATGCTTCATATTAAAAGGTTTCAGCCTGTGAAATGTCTTTTTCTTCTATCGCCCACTCATGGCTTCGGAGTAGATATCTAACTTTGCTTAAGCACCACAGAAACAACAACTTACAGTTATGTCTAGATAGCAATCGTTATGCGTTGTGGAACAGAAAGATTTAATATGCAGGAACTTGAAATAGAATCTGGTAAACCAGGTACAGAAACTTCATAAATCATAGTCATGGAACTAATGATCATACCTGGTGAGCAAAAACCCTGGCCATAATGATGTCATTATATCCAGAAAGTACACGAGCAACATCACGGGTCTCCTCACGCTTGCCCATCTGGATATCATCGGGACCTAAATAAACAGCATGCCCACCAAGCAAGAAGAATCCTGTTTCAAACGAAACACGGGTCCTCATTGACGGCTTGGCGAAGACCATTGCCATCGACTTTCCTTTGAACGGTTGGAAGCTCCTGTCTCCTGACTTTATCATTGCCTTAACCTCAATTGCTCGGTTAAGGATCTTCATGATTGTATCTTTGTCAAAATCATTGATATGAAGAAAATCCTTAGGAAGCTGTTTTGCTGCAAGGAAATTTAGTGTTGTTATTAATAAAGTTAGCAAAAATTTGGTACATCTTCAACATTGCTCTGATGCACACAACTTTTGAAATGCACACCTAAGTTTCCGTCACTCACATGCTTCCAGGAAGGAAAAAAAACAGGATCAAAGCTAATGAGCAAACAAGTGAATTTCAGAGCTAACATCTTTACCATAAGAAAACTCTTGCTCATTGGTGATGACAGGTGAGGAACAAAGTAGGTGAGCACAATATAACAGTGATGATGGGGACAATGAAAACACAGCCTGTGTTTTGCAGTGTCGAACCAGAAAAATCTGTACATTTCTTGTTTGATCACCATACGATTAGTGTGATCTCTCGGCGTGGATTCCCAGTACAGATAATTTCTCATCCAGTGTCACATAAAAATGATCAACATAAATTTGACATAGCTGATGATCAATCATAGTGGGTCTTATATTTGGCACCACCCTTGATTCTATACCAAAAGCTATTTGAGACTTTAAGCTTTGTGCACTGTTAGAAACTACTACCTCTGCTCACAAATATAAAATGTTTTGGATATTTCAATACGGACGACATACAGACTGAAATGAGTGAACAAACATATACTAAATCGTGTCTATATACGTCCGATTCAGAAAAAAGTAAGAACATCTTATATTTGTGCACGGAGGGAGTACTAGCTAGTCCCTGAGGAATCGACATTGGCAGAGGATAGGAAACTACCCACACTGGGAGCCCTGGAAGCTACTCAAGTTTCACGGTAGGTACCATGTCACAACTTATCATTTCCTGTTTGTCAAATCAATTTCGAACAAATACAATAACCCCACTACTAGTAGAACCCTAGTTACTAGGTCCCCTAATCAACAAAAACAATTCAATGCAGAAACCCTAACCATCTTTCCCAGTGGAGGGGACCGCGGCAGGGCTGGACACTGCGGCGGCCGCGACCCCGCGGCGGGCTGCGGAGGCGGAGGATGCGGCGATTGGTCGCGCTGAGGGCGGATGGAGGGGGAGCGACCGTGGGCGCCGGGTGGAGGTAGGGGTGGAGAGGACGAGGTGACCGCCGGAAATCGCCGCTGCAGCCATCGCAAGGAGATGCTTCAGTGACTGTCGGCGACGGAGGGTGGAAGAAGGGGGTGCCGGAGGCTGGTTGCCACTGGAATCCGGCGGGGACGGACGGCGCGGCGGCTAGGGCGGCGGCCTGAGTGCGGCGGCTCGTGGCTGCGAGAAAGGTCGGAATGGACGGGCCAGCTGGAACCGGCGAGGGGCGTATGTAAGAGAATTTTGTTACACTTCGCCCTTTCGCATTTTTTCTAGAGACGGTCCATTTTGTCCTCGTATATTTTTCTCAGCCTCAATGCGCCCCCTTACGGTACTCACCATGCCCGGCTGAAATGTTCGTGTTAATTTTTTCCCCTTCTTCTTTGAAGTAACTGGTTCGGATATGTAGTACAATACATATATGAGCACTTTGTTGAGTCGTTTGATAAGGAAAACTACACGGATGAGACGGCAATAATACTGGCGGTCCTTGCAGACGTGGATCAAAAATGTCTTCCATTGTTTCTACCATGGGGTCCGTTCCTTTGATGACTACATCTTAAAGAAGAATGCCTTGGAAAGGATTGAGTTCTCCAGTTACCAGAAGTGCACGACAGCACTACGAATGCTTGCATATGGCACGGCCGCTAATTCGTGGGACGAATATCTACGGATGTCATGGTTAGATTTGTTATTGTCGTGGTCTCGGTGCTTGGACCTCAGTACCCGAGAGAACCAACTGTGTCAGACACCAAGAGGATCTTGCCAATGTCTGAAGTAAGAGGTTGGTCGGGTTTGCTTGGATCTCTTGACTGCATGCATTGGAGATGGAAGAACTGCCCAAAAGCTTTACAAGGGCAATATCAGGTCATGTTAATAAGCCCACCATCATTCTTGAAGCAGTTGCATCACATGATCTTTGTATTTCGCACGCTTTCTCTGACATGCTTGGGTTTCACAATGACATCGATGTGTTGCAGCAATCACCATTGTTTGTTTGTCAGGCTGACTAAAGGGAAAACTCCTCCTTGTTACTATATTGTTAATGGGCATGAATACAACATAGGCTATAATTTGGTTGATGGTATCTATCCTCCGTGGGCTACCTTTGTCAAGACCATCTCTGGCTCAATTGGCCAGAAAAAGTCTCACTTTGCCAAAAAATAAGAAGCAGCTAAAAAGGACGTTGAGAGGGCATTTGGAATTCTGCAGGTACGTTTTGCTGTTATTTATGGACCTGTTAAACAATGGGACCTGAAGACATTGTGGGAGGTAATGATATGTTGTGTGATCATGCACGACATGATCGTCAAAGATGTGGGTGAGGGTGTTGCCGTAGGTCTTGAATTTGAGAATATGGATGATCCTATCAAACTTCCAAACCAAAATTCGACCATATTTTATGAGTTTTTTAAATGCATCAAATTTATCATCGAGCAACTCATGAGCAACTGAACGAAGATCTGATAGAGCATCTGTGGATGACTAAATGGGACAACATTATTGGAGTGTAATATTTACATTAGAACCACTTCTGCATTTGAACATTTTTTTAGCTAAATCGAAACTATACGTGTGAATTTTTTGAGCATGCGGTCATATGCAGACTTTTAAAATAAATGGGGGTTGATGTACGTGGATAGCTTTGGATGGCCGGCTCCTGCACTAGTGTCTGCATAGTATGAGGGTTGATGTCATAGTATGCCATGTAATACTAAAACATGTGATGTATCTTCGTATTTCACTGTTGATTGTGCGTGTCAGCTATTGATTTAAGGACTGGCATAATAAATCATAGAGATTCGGGGCCCCTCTCGGGATCGGGGCGTGAGAAAATGTCTCAATTTTTTAGTTGTCCAATTGATTTATTTTTATTTACTATTTTTGCCGATTTTATTTGCATCATCATTGTTAGAAGCGCTCTATTGCACTTGGTTTTTTAATAGTACAGACGCAGACGCTCATACATATGCACATACTCTCATCTCTATGAATGCACGCACGCACATCCTATCCCTGTGAGCACATTTGAGAGACCGAGCTGGCATATCATCTTGAGATCGAACAAGTCACTACAGACGCCTCCATAGTCGACGGAAACGTCTCCTCCCATTGAACATACATCACTGGAAGGCCTGGAATAAGCCAGGAAAATGCGAGCACCAATGTCAAGTTTGAGACTTGAACTCTGGTAGGCTGGTGATACCACTGTCCTCATAACCATTCAACCATAGGTTTTCACTTGATTTTTTAGTTAATGCTAAGTGTCAAATGACTTAGAAATGGCGCAAAAGTCTATAGATGACTAGGTAAGGGCGTGTTCGGTAGCCCTCCACGGCTGCAAAATCCTCAACTCCATCGCCCAACTCCAGCAGCCAGCTTCTCTCGTGAACTCTGGGAGTCAAAGATCTGTTCGGTGCGCTAGCTTCCAGCCGCTCGCGATTGGTGAGGCCAAAAGCCCACAAAAAGCATATTCGGCCCACTTGGGTTAGCCTTATTTGCCTAGTGGCCTGAGGGTAGGTGGGCTCCTGTCGAATATTGGAGGGGAACGGAGACGGGGGATGGATGTGACGCGAGTATCTAACCGGTATGAATCACTTCGCGGTGGCATGAGGACGTAATTTCTCTCAACTCTTGCTTCTTAGTTTTCAGGGAGCTGGAATTTCTCAACTCTGCAACTCCTTAGATATTACACTATGGTTTTAGCCAGCTTCCCACGCCCATAACCAGGAATTGAATCGTTCGGCTGCACTCCACACCTAGATTTGTGGATTTGAGAAGCGGGAGGGTTCCCGAACACGCCCTAAGTGCGTGAACCAACTTATGGTTGGATGGTTAGGAGGACATGAAGGAAATATGCCCTAGAGGCAATAATAAAGTTATTATTTATTTCCTTATATCATGATAAATGCTTATTATTCATGCTAGTATTGTATTAACCGGAAACATAATACATGTGTGAATACATAGACAAACAGAGTGTCACTACTATGCCTCTACTTGACTAGCTCGTTGATCAAAGATGGTTATGTTTCCTAACCATAGACATGAGTTGTCATTTGATTAACGAGGTCACATCATTAGAGAATGATGTGATTGACTTGACCCATTCCGTTAGCATAGCACTCGATCGTTTAGTTTGTTGCTATTGCTTTCTTCATGACTTATACATGTTCCTATGACTATGAGATTATGCAACTCCCGTTTACCAGAGGAACACTTTGTGTGCTACCAAACGTCACAATGTAACTGTGTGATTATAAAGGTGCTCTACAGGTGTCTCCGAAGGTACTTGTTGGGTTGGCGTATTTCGAGATTAGGATTTGTCACTCCGATCGTCGGAGAGGTATCTCTGGGCCCTCTCGGTAATGCACATCACTTAAGCCTTGCAAGCATTGCAACTAATGAGTTAGTTGCGGGATGATGTGTTACGGAACGAGTAAAGAGACTTGCCGGTAACGAGATTGAACTAGGTATTGAGATACCGACGATCGAATCTCGGGCAAGTAACATACCGATGACAAAGGGAACATCGTATGTTGTTATGCGATTTGACAGATAAAGATCTTCGTAGAATATGTAGGAGCCAATATGAGCATCCAGGTTCCGCTATTGGTTATTGACAGGAGACGTGTCTCGGTCATGTCTACATAGTTCTCGAACTCGTAGGGTCTGCACGCTTAAAGTTCGATGATGGTTATATTATGAGTTTATGTGTTTTGATGTACCGAATGAGTTCGGAGTCCCAGATTAGATCGGGGACATGACGAGGAGTCTCGAAATGGTCGAGACGTAAAGATCGATATATTGGACGACTATATTCGGACATCGGAAAGGTTCCGAGTGATTCAGGTATTTTCGGGAGTACCGGGGAGTTACGGGAATTCGTATTGGGCCTTAATGGGTCATACGGGAAAGGAGAGAAAGGCCTCAAAGGGTGGCCGCACCCCTCCCCATGGGCTGGTCCGAATTGGACTAGGGAGGGGGGCGCCCCCTTCCTTCCTTCTCCTTTTCCCTTCCCTTTCCTTCCCTCCTACTCCTACTATATGGAAGGGCTCCTACTTCTACTAGGAAAAGGGGAATCCTACCCCCGATGGGAGTAGGACTCCCCTAGGGCGCGCCATAGAGAGGGCTGGCCCTCCCCCTCCTCCACTCCTTTATATACGGGGGCAGGGGGCACCCCAAAGACAACAATCGATCAAGTTGATGTAACACCCACGATGCGGCCATATCTCCCACATGTCGAAGCACGACTTAGAGGCATAACCGCATTGTAAGCAATGTCGCAAGTGGGGTAATCTTCACACAACTCATGTACTGAATAAGGAAAGAGATACATAGTTGGCTTACACTCGCCACGTCACACAATATCATAAATAACATTACAATCATCCAGATACAATCAAGGTCCGACTACGGAACCAAAATAAAGACAACCCCAAATGCAACAATGTCCCCGATCGTCCCAACTGGGCTCCACTACTGATCGTCTGGAAAGGAAACGTAGTATCGTCCTGAGTCCTCATCAAACTCCCACTTGAGCTCAGGCGAATCTCCTGGAGCGGTATCATCGGTCCCTGCATCTGGTTTTGAAGGAATCTGTGAGTCACGGGGCCTCAACAATCTCACATCCTCGCGATCAAGACTATTTAAGCTTATAGGAAGGGTAAAATGTATGAGGTGGAGCTGCAGCAAGCACTAGCATATATGGTGGCTAACATACGCAAATGAGAGCGAGAATAGAAGGCAAGGCACGGTCGAAAAACTATGATCAAGAAGTGATCCTAGAACAACCTACGTTCAAGCATAACACGAGACCGTGTTCTCTTCCCGGACTCTGCCGAAAAGAGACCATCATGGCCACACACTCTGTTGATTCATTTTAATTAAGTTAAGTTTCAGGTTTTCTACAACCGGACATTAACAAATTCCCATCTGCCCATAACCACGGGCACGACTTTCGAAAGTTCAAATCCCTGCAGGGGTGTCCCAACTTAGCCCATCACAAGCTCTCACGGCCAACGAAGGATATTCCTTCTCCCAAG